TACGAAGTGCTGGCTCCTGCCACAATGGGTTTTCCCTCACGGTACAAACCCAAGTTAGAGCGTTAACCCAACAGGCATAGAAACTGCCAAAAGTACACAAACCTTACTATAACTCTGAGAAAACGCAGCTTACAGCACTTTCCAGCAGAAACTTTTGATTCTTTGAATTCTAGCAGAGACAGCAGTCCAGGGACGGGCTCTCTGAAAACAGCAGCTGAATCCAAGGCATTTCAGAAATGTTCGGTGCCCTTCAGCAGATTTCCACCAGAGTCCAAAGGAGAGCAGAGCAGCTTTATTGTCACGGAACTTTCAGAGGCAGAGGTCTGAAGTCCCATTCTTTAACTCAGAGCAGCCAAGCCTCCAAAGCACCGGCACCACTTCTTCAACAGACTCCACCGCGCTGCATCATCCCAAAAGGCAACTGCTGTAGCGTTTTTATTTTAAATCCCGGCAGTGACAATTTTCCCGGGAAGCCCCACACGTGCTCGCGAGGCTGAAAGACGCTCGGTACCAACCGAGACCTCCCGGTTCGTGATAGAAAACGTTCGCGGTGCCTCCAACAGCAGCGCGGCTCGGTCCGGGGAGCGGCGGAGCGGCCGCGCCGCTACGGACGGATCCGGCTCCGAGACAGCGGCACCGGGACGGAGACCGGAGCTGCGGCGGTCCCTGCCCGGGGCCCTCGGGAGCGCCGCGGCACCAGCGGGACCCCGGGGTCCTTCTGCCCGCCCCGGAGCTCCGGGAGAGATGAGGCAGCAGCCGCAGCTCCGTCCCGTCCCGCGCGCGGCGGCACGAGGAGGGGAGAACTTTTCCTTTTCTGAGGGAATTTTTGTTTTGTCTTTTTTAATAAAAAAAAAGAGAGAACTGCCGCGAGTGAATCGCCGCGCGCAGGACTCACCTCCACAGCAGCTCCCCTCTACGGCTCCATGCCGGAGGGCTGCGGGGGGACCCCCGGAGCGGTGGCCGGCGGTCCGTGTCCGTGTCCGTGGGTCGGGACGCGGGCCCCGCGCGCCAGGTGCGCCCGCCCGCCCCGCGCCGCGCCGCGCGAGCGGCAGCGCCCCCTGGCGGCCGCGCCTCGGCCCTGCAGCCCCGGGCCGGCCCCGGGAGCGGCACCGGCACCGCCCGCGGAGGGCAAAGCAGCCCCCAGAGCCCCGCCGGGCACCCACGGGGAACGCACCGGCAAGGACCCGTGCGGCCGCACACGGGGCTCGGGTCTCTGCGGAAGATGAGAGGGATGGATGGAGCGGCAGCAAAAGGCGGCGGAGGGGTCGGTGCTTTACCGGGGGGATCTGGCGCGGCACGGATCGGAACGGGCGGCACTGAACAGCTCCCGCCGGGGGTACTGCACGGTGGCAGCGCACACCAGAGCGAGGGCTGCGGCTCCCCGAGGGTCGCAGGGGAGCGCTGACGCTTGGAGCATCACCGGGGGCTATTCCGCCCCTGCCCCGGGCAGCGCTGCCCCGGCCTCGGGCCGCCCGCACAGCTCACAGAGGGTCACCGCGGTCAGCGGGACAGCTCGTCCCGGGGTCACAGCATCTGCGCTTTCAAACCCGCTTCGCATTTTCACACCATCATTAGCATCAATTTCATCAGACTGCCTTGAACTGGACCAGGCTAAGTTTCTCCTCCTTAACTCTCCTTCTGTCATGCTTTCCACAGAGTGGTAGTGTTATTTTTAGTTTCCCTGTGCTGCTTTTTATTCACTTTTAAATATCTTGGAATAGGTCCATGTAGACTATAATCTACTGCATTTTGCTCAGATTCACAGGAAGACACAATTTTGTCAGGCAACTGAGATACAGGCAGAAAAATCATGGGACAGATTTCTGTAAGTGGCACTTTAGGACTTTACAGTGCCACTGCTTGGCCTGAGTAATGTTGTGTCACGGGGCATGCGATGTGCACAAGACCATTGAGAAGCTGTCAACACTGAGCAAGTCAGCAGTGAGAAGCCTAAATCCTAAACACCAGCCAGCCACAGAAAAGTGTCTTCCTTAGGAGACCCTCACCAGTGGAATCAGCATCCCCTCAGCACCCTGCCCTCAAGCAGAGCAGATGAGAAAAGTCAGATCCTGCTCAATTGCACACTGCTCACCTAAGCTATGCATCAGCATCTTTGCAACTATTAATGTCAAAGTCAAGAAAGCGCTCGGCTCTGCTTTTGGGTCTTTATCACATATGCAGAGCTGACAATTAGAAACATTGTCTCATTACCTACAAAGCAAATCTGAACTGCATACCACACAAGGATAACAAAAGTAGCAGTGTTTTTAGGCATTTCTCTGAGTATAACCATCCTTTAAAGCCTCTGTAGGCTCAGGAGACAACATTCAGCCACGCTGACCTGCAAGGCCAGGAACAACCAAACGTGGTGACTTCTCCCAGGCCCAGCTGTGGGGAGGACTCAGGCACACTCAGTGTATTCTTACATTATCATAGAGCAGGAATGTGACAAAGATCAATAAACATTTTATTGCCTGTTTAATTCTTTTAACTAATTTGAAAGAGACAAAATGTTGCCAGGAGACCTCGCTTCTCCAGGTGACACAGACTTCAGCAAGACACTGATACCTTCACTGCAATTCATAACCTCTGACACTTCAGCTACTCTTTCACTTCTCCTGGCATGATTACAGTGTAAGAGTGCTATTTCTCTCATTATATATCAAGTCATTTAATAAAGTCACTTTTTAGTTTAATTAAAAAATTTAAAGCTTAGAAATAAAACATCCCATGAACTTTGAAACATACAGTTAGGTAAAGCTGTATTTATCAATATTTTGGAATTATACTTGAACATTAAATGCACTAGACATTCTTCAGCATTTTATACCGAGTCAAAGAACAATTATTATGGTCACTGTATGACTATTATTCATTAAAAAATAGGGGAACATATCACTGACTGATAATTTATTTCTGAAAGTAACTTTGTTTCCTTTATTCTGATGTTTTATCAGCCTATTGTGGAAAATAATAGGAAGGCAAAGAGGAATGTGGTATTCATGGAGTTTAATACAGAGCAGAAGAGCTCAGCCTTCAGAGGAACTGTAGGAGCAGCCTGCCATGCACCAAACCTTACACTTGTTTCTGATGTACCACTAAAGAAGTAAAGAGACCTGCTTTGGCCTTTGTTTCTGACCTCTTTTGGTGTTGTTTTATCATGTCTGGTAAAGCAGGACAGGGACCCCAGCTGGGACCTCCCAAGTGCACTGTGTTGTAGACACACTGAAAGAAGAGAGAGTTGACCTTGATAAAAATGGGAGAGAGAATTATTCTTACTGTTGTATCTGTCCATACTAGGAAGGGATAACCAAAAAGACCAGTGAACTTGAGCAATGCCAAGCAGTAAATCTGTGAAGAGCCAGGAACCAAATGTATAATTTCAAATTTAATTCTCCAGTCCTTGATTTCCTAAACGTCTCTGTTTTTTCTGCCAACCAAATTATTTCTAGGGCTTTAATTCACTATCAGAGAATTCAGGGAAAAGGATTGTTTTCCACTGACTTCAGTTAGCTTTGAAAGAGTCAGGTAGACTTTCTTAATCAATTTTATTCAATCTATGTGTGGACTCACACACATCCATTACAATTAGATTGTAGCCAAACATCCTCATCAGACAGCCACCAGCTGAGGCTGCTTTCCCAGCTGCTCTTTTTTTCACCTCCCAAGGACTGATGGATCTGCTGCTTTATTGTGTTGAACTCTGTTCCTGTTCAGTCAAATAAGAAAGGTTTGGTTTGATTTTACACTGCAGAAATTAAGGAGCTTCCACATGAGCAGCTTGCTGGGGTACAGTGAGCAGCCTCCAGCAGGAAGAAGAACATTTAGGGGATGTGAGTTGCCCTTATGAACCCTACAACTAACACAGCTACTTCCAGAAGGAGCCATCCTCTATGCTATGGTCAGGAGAGCCCCAGCCTTGCCATGAACCTCTGCTCCTGGGTCTACATAATTCTCACACATTTCTTGCCTGAATGGGAAGATGACAGGATGAGAGGATTTACAGCTGTGTAGAGTCACATTTATTGACTTTATGTCTAGTCTTTATGCTGCTATATAGCAGCACAGATTCAGGTCTGGTCTTTGGGAAATATGGCCACACATGAAAACTCTGTGTGTGTGTGTGTGTGTGTTTGTGTGTGTGTGTGTGTGTGTTTGTGTGTGTGTGTGTGTGTGTGTGTGTGTTTGTGTGTGTCTGTGTGTGTGCTCCTGCTCACACGACACCCTGTGATGACCACCATAAGCAACAAGGAATAAGGCTGAAAGCCAAGTACATCTGTGGAAACACCATCAACTCTTCCCAGCCATTAATTTCAGCAGTGATGCAAAGCTGATAGACAATCCCACTGCAGGTGGGAACAAGCATCCAGCCTGCCTCAGCCCAGGTGAAAGCTGCAGGGCTCCAGGACACCACCCAGGCTGCCTCCACCACCTCCAGCCCCTCTGTGTCCTGCTGCCCAGGGCTCTGTGCTCTGCCAGCAGCACCCACACCCTGGAGCAGGGGGAGGTGGGAGCACTGAGCCACGAGGGGGGAGATGCTGATGCTGCAGCAGCAGAGCATGGAAGGGAGCTCAGCACAGAGGGACTTGGCAGGGCTGTGTTTACGTGGGACAAAAGCCAAAGCAAAGAGTGTCTGTTGTGAAGGGAATGAGGAGGACATCAACAGCTGGATAATGCTGGGTGAAGGATTAGCTACAAGAAGGAGTAAACTGACAAGGAAAGAATCCTGCCCTGCTGGTGGCAGCCATCATTCTGATCACCACTTTTCAGAAGACAAACACAGACCTGAGTGGGAAAGTATTTCCCATTCAGGTCTGCAAAGAGGGATTGTTAATAGAGTGCCAATTCCCTTCAGCAGGAGAGACTCACACAATAATGTCACTGCAGTTGACTGAAGTTGCACACACAGAGTATAAAGCAGCAGTAAATGCCAAGATTTCAAAATTCATTTTGCATCTGACATTCTCCTGGGTTATTTCAAGTGAAAGATAAACACAGCATCTTCCAAGCAGTAATCTTATTTGATATCAACAACATACACAAGTAGTTAAGTTTGGAGTAGGGTAAGTTTCTCACTTTTATGCTTGAAAGCTGAAGATAAAATTATTAAGCATTTTGCATGTACAGAGTATAAGAAGACTAACTGCTCTGCATAGGTATATGGATGGGAAAATAATTTCTTCCCCTAAGAAAAACACGACAGTTTTACAGCACAGGTAACATCTTCCTGCAGTAGGCATGATATTTCTGCAAAAGAGCAAAAATATACAACATATTGACTGTTTACCTGTTTCTCTTCACTGGCCAACAGCAGAAAGGGAATCACTGTTTGGGATTAATTAAAATCAGACAAAAATCCTAATTTTGCCTTAATGCAGCAAACAGCCTTAAACAAACAGCCTTGCTAGAGAAACTGCTCAAATGGGGAGCTTTTTCCAGGTGCAGAATGGTTTGTGGAGCAGAAATGTAAAATCCACTGATAGATAATGGAAATATGCTTCTATTTGCCATTGGGAATTTCTCAGGCAAGACTAAGACAAATGCTGCCTTTGCCTGTTTATTTCACATTTTGGTGGGAGAACCAATAATCAGCTAAAATAAACATGGGGGGCAGTAAAATCACACACAGACTCTTGTACTGCTGATTTCTGTCCTCTGGATGGGATGCAGCTACACAATCAATTCATCAGTTTGAGACTTCTGGTGAGTACCAACATCCTAAAGCACATCAGCACCTAGTAATATAAAAGTCCTCCATCGGGTCCTTGCTTCTCCTCCCTTCGTCCCCTTTTCATTGTGCTGATCTGCCAGCACAACTGTGGTTGGCAGAGACAGAGACACAGAGACAAAATGCAAGTTGTGCTTCTCCTAACCCCTTGTGGGATTGAGAGAAGCTAATCAATGTTGTATTCACTGGTATTCCAGAGAACATTTTTGTTTGCATCTAATCATAATTGCAGAAATCCCACAGCAATACAGAGTTTGGCAAACTCATCTTGGAACAGCTCATTTGGTGAAAACTTAGATTATATTTTAACTTCAATGATGAGAAATTACTGAGATGATGACAAGCACGGTTGGTTTTAGATGCCACAAACTGAGGAAAAATAGGTAAGTTACCTAAAATCACATCACATTTGGTTCACATAAAATGCAAATTTCTCCAAGTGAATGGTTTGAAAATCGTAGTTTAAAAACTAAAAGGAAATAAAGCCTAAAAATCAACAAATGCTGATGTTGATCTATGTTTTTCTGTTACAGATTTCTTTTCCCCGCTCCCTTTTTTTGCTGGTGCTTCTAGAAAAGAAGAAATTAATACAGCACACCTTCTTTACTTTTTGTTTGTAGCACAAAACAGAAGCTTTAAATCTGGTTGTAAAAATTGTCCTCTTTTGCATTTCTGTTTTGACCAGATTATCATATTTCAGGCTGTAGAACAGAGCAAATCATAAGTATGAAAGGAAGAGTACCACAAATGGTCTGAAACTCTGGACTGATGGCATAAAAGCCTAAATTAGTTTTCTAGACAGAAGTTACACGTATTTTGGATAGCTTATATTTGGTTGATAATGGATTTTCCAGGTCATGTGACAAAAGGAGAAGAAAAATGTTGTTTCAGATTAAAATGAAATGGAGTTTCAGGGCAAGGGAGGTATGTGGTAAAAATAGTAATGATCAACTTGAAGTGTTGTTTTACATCCTTATTCACAGACAGATAAATTCTGTATTAAACCTACATACCTCAATCCTATACTGAATAAATATCTTTTTTTGGAGTTGACTGGCTCCATTACTAAAATGTAAAGTTCAAGGTTAAATTCTACAGTCTGATTCTTTCACTTCCCAAGAAGACAACTGGGTTTGACTCGAGCAGAAGCACCAGGCTGGCCTGCCATGTAGAAAAGGAGAATTCCCATTTATGCCAAGCTCCAGGTGTGGAGGGCTGGAGCCAGGAGCTGCAGGAGCCTGGCTTGGCTCCTCTGAGCACATCCCTCTGAGGCCATGGCAATGGGCTCAGATGCCAAGACCCCTTCTCCAGCCCTCACTTCACCATGAGGGTAAAGATCCTGGAGCTTTTATGCAGCAGAGTATTTGGCAGAAAAAATTGCTTTGTTTTTCTAGGGGTGCACACAAGAAATACATTTGGCAAGACCAAAGTGCTCTGCCCTTGCACAGCTGCACATCCACCCATTCACTGGCAGGCTGCTCCAGCACGACCTGGTCAAGTGGTCCTCCAATTCAGCCCATCAGTAATTCAATTCTGGTGTCAGTGTTTCTTTGAGCATCAGTGAGCATGTCCTGTAAACGAGATGAGATTAAAAAAGAAAGGAAATAAAGAAGTCCAATATATTGGTAGCAGTCAAATACATTTTTGGTAGCTAAAATACATTTTTTACACCCTTACCTGTTTTAATGCCTGGTAATAAATTCTTTTCAGGACATTTGTTTTCAGGTTTTGTCATCCTCAGTTGTCTACACATTTCAAGGTACAGAATTACCCTCTCCCAGTACATCTGTGAAGAGAAACATTTATGGAAATAAAGGGTTATGATTTCATTTCAGACTCAAAGACTAAACAGTGGTGTTATAGTTTTTCTCACTATGCCTGAGTCAGTCCTGCCCTCCAAACTGTCTGTGATTTCATTTCCTCAAAAACAACATGTTATCAAAGAGAAAAACTAAAACAAGTCAATTAAACTGGAGCTAATGGCTTTAAAAACACCTTTGATTGCCAATGCTTTTGGCTTGCAATAACATGGTAACATTCTAAAATTGGCTTGAGTTTCTGTAAGAAGCTGTAAAGCGTATTTCAGACTTGAGTATTTCTTACCTATGTAAAAATGCCAGTACTTGGAAATGCAGAGCACATTACAGCTATACCCTGTCTTAAAGGAAACAAAACATGCATGCTGAAACTACTTGCTTAATTTCTGTTTGGAGTATAATTATTCCTTGTCAGAAAACAGGTGAAGGGAAGTACACAGACATCTCCTCTCCTCCCAGGCACATGTTGCTCTCCAGCCTTCTCTTCCATCAAACCTCCAGTGTGCAGCTTCCACTGAACTGCTCGGGACCAGGGGCACCTCTTGTACTTCCAAATGAAGAGGGAAGACAATTCTTAAGCAATCCTGAATTTACAGAGGTGACTTTTCCACTTCTCTGACAGAGCTTAACATTCCTCCTTCTGCCATATTGTCCCCACAAAGCTGGTGCAGCTAAGGCAGCAGAAATAATCCACTAAGAGTGATGAATGCAATATATGATGCCTTCAAAAAGTTCTTAAATCAAGGTTTCTGAAAAATTAAAGTCTTAGAGCAAAAATCAGTGTTCAAGGGCAGTCAATCAGATGTCTGAATTATGTCTTGCCTTTAAAATATACAGTGGATGACAGTTTTCAAATAGTTCCTGTAAAAGCTTCTATGTGTACTGTACCTTGACATTAAGTCCTCACTGAAGTACTTACCTTCAGGATTCTCCTCATTTATTGGTCTTTTTTCTGCTTCAAAATAATCAGAGTAGATGCTCCAGAATGTAAAAAGAAAAAAAAGAAAAGCAGATGAATGATTTACTGCCAGACTCCAGGTGAGGAAAAGGACACGTACCCATCACTGCAGGCAAGCAACAAGCAAAGAAAAATGACTGAGCAACAGAGGGGAGGCAAGAGGGAAAAGGTGTGGGCTGGGCAGGGAGTTAGTACCTGGTAAGTCATTAATGTGTGTGTAAGGCCAGTCTGACATCAGGGAGGCTCTTACAGGATTTTGATGGAATTATGGCATATATATACTGGTAAAAGAGGCCTTTAGCTGCAAAGAACCATTTATTTATCCTTTTGAGTAAAAACCAGCAAACCCTGAGCTCACAAAGCACGTAGGAAAATGTTGTCAATCCATAACAAAGTGTCAGAAGAACCTCAAAAAACAGCAATAAGTTGCTTTTAGCTCCAAAGATTTTTCCCTGATGATTGTCTCTGGATTTACATTTGAGCTTCGTATTTACTGACCCATTCCTTTATGGAATTCTCCACGTACCTGCCATTCTGCACACCCAGAACTCAGGCTATTCCCTCTCTTATTAGTGGTCATTTGTGGGCAGGCTGAAAATAGGGAGCCAGGAGCCACATCAGCACTGCTGTGAGCCCAGCTCAGGCAGGAGGTGAAACTCCTGGGGCATGAACACCCAGCCTGCAGCAAACAAAGGTACAGGAAGGCTCAGCCTCACTCCCAAGGAAAAGCTGGGGCCTCTCACATCCCTCCTCCAGTCCTTTCCAGAGCCCCTTGCTCACCTCCACTCCCTGTCCAGCCCAGACACAAACACTGCTGTGCTCCTGCTCTGGAAGTATCTTCTCCAACACTGGCAGTCCAGCCAGGTGAGGAAAAGCAGATTTGGTCCCTTAGCATGTCACCTTGTGTTTTGCAGCAGGAAATTTAGATTCCACATATCTAATTAATGGAAAACATAGATAAACAAAAACAGATTGGTTACTTCAATTATGTGCACAGTGCCTGCAGGGCTACAATTAAAAAATGCAAGGAAAGATAACAGTCAAAATGGGTAAAAATATGCAGGAGAATACAATCTGTAGCTTACCTTAATGACAATTAAAAACAACTCTTCATCAGCTGTGAAATGAGGGAGATTATTCTTGGCAAATGAGTGTAATACAAAGTTTTTTAGCCATCTCTAAATAACATTTACCTGGTGCAGCTTTACATAATTAACCAACTTCCTTGTGCGTATTGCACAGACCCATCTTCACAGAGAGGGAATAACTTGTCTAAAATAAAGACGGAGAAGGAAGGAGAGCAGAAGCTCTCTATTAATTTATTTAAATTTCTCCCAGAGGCAATTTCTCCAAATTCCTTGAAGTCAAGCATCTGCTTTCCTTACAGCTTAACTTACTGAAAGAAGCATTACCTGCCCAAATAATCCTCTCCTTAAGCAGCTTAACAAGTTTGTGTAAATGTTTGAGCTGCTATAAAGAGGCAAGAAAGTAATTCAGAAATGTAAACAATTTTCTTGTTATTTTGAGTCTCTCCACTATTTGCACTACCAGATGGATTAGATGAATACTCTGTGGGATGGCTTTTCTGGGTGACATGACTCATGTGTAGCAAAAGGTTCAAAACTGTGAGTGAAAACTGGTTTTCAATTCAGTGATTTTAATAATTAGGTGCAAACCCAAGTCCTTTGAATGACTTAATTTGTATTTAGTAAGAATATTAGGGAGACCAATTATCAAAATTCACTGTTCAGCTGCATTTGAAAATTTAAATGGCTAAAAATGCCAGCACATTGAACTCCCTGGCTCCTCCCCTGTGTAAACTAGATGTTTGTAAAACAAACACCAGAGTTATTTCTGTTGCCTTCTGTATTCAGGAGATGTCCATGTTTGATACTGAGAAGGACTGGTTGAGATGTATGACATTTTACCTTTCTCCTCTTGATCTGGTCCTTTTCTTTTCCTAAGCACCTGTGGGACTATCTCCCCCTTAAAAAAAATTAAGTAAAATAGAAAAAAAAAATAGCTTTCCATGAAAACATTTCAATGGGACTGAAGACATCTCATTGACCAAAATTTATCTCTATAACAGCTTTAGAAGTAAGTACTCCACTAGTATTGCAGTTAGAGTCTTCACTCAAAATAAGCCAGAGGACCACGTTCTTTACTGGTTTAAACATGGATTTCTTTGACTGCATCAGAAATCTCCAGGGACAGAAAGGATTCTATTTTATTGCATCAATGTCTGAGAAGACAAATTTTTTGCCTTACCCAGTGCCCAGTGCAGTGATCATCACCTCAGATTTAATTGTATTAATGGGATGAAGTTTAATAAACTGCTATATTACAGTGACTATCATTGGATCATTATTTGCATTTTCTCAGCCACAAAGACGTTGTGTGACTGGAAATAATTTAGTACTAAACACTCCAGAACTTTCAGAACACATGGTTCAACACGGCTCACCCACCTTTACCCTACCTAGCACCTCTTAGCAGAAAAAAGGGTAAGACATATAGTTCTGAGTGTTAAATGTTCTTGATACAGTCTTCAGTTCAGGTTTTATAAGATTTTTTAATTGCTTGCTCCTGAAACACAGCCACCTCTGATTTCTAGCTAAGAGATGAAGCTCAAATCCTTTTAAATGAACTGAATAGCTCTAGTAAGAGTGGTGGGTAAAAAACTCATCAGTTCTGTTTTAAGGGTATCTCATAACAACACAGCCTCTTGTGGAATTGAGATTTACAGATTAAGTTTTCCACTGCATAAAAATAACTAATTTATCTATTTCAAACCTGTCACCTTTAAGTTTCATTGGGCATTCCTTTTATACACTGCAAACACACAGGGTCAGCCCCGCTGACCTCTGTGCCATTCATTAGTATACATCCTTCCATCACACTTTTGTTTAGTAGTCTGCTCTGAGAATTAAATGCCTAATATTGTCTCAAATCAAAGCCCCCTTATGCCTGCAATTATTTCAGTTGCCTTTTTTTTGCCCCCTTCCACTTTTAGCACAGCCTTATTTGAAAGAAGATGATTTTGCATCCATTTCTCCAGCTGTAGATGATCAGTAATAAGGAGGCTGGAAGCAGGAATATAGTAAGCAGGGAGGCTGCCATGTTATTAATATTTATTTCTTGGTGGTATCTAGAGGCATCAGCTGAGCCAGAGTCCTGTTGTGATAAGCTACACAGCCTTGTAGTACATGACAGCCCTTGCCCAAAGGATTGCATCATGAGGGATGAAGGGATCTTAGAGAGGGAGAATTCCTATTGCAAGTTTACTTGTCTAATGCAAACTCATCACCTTTTGATGTCCCAGCAGCTGCAGCCTGCACTCGGTGAGAGCATGGTGTGTGTTTGATAACGAGAGCGCTTTCATTTCTCCTCTACAAAGGGAGATGGTCCCTGCTGTCACAGATCCCTGTAAAACATTTGCCACAAAGCTACAAACAAACCCTTCACAGCATCTGCACGTGGTCAAAAATTAGGCCATCATATACCAGAGAACTCCACTGCTGCCAGTAGGGAGGGGTAGAAAAACTCCTCAGTACTCCAGGGAGCAGCTTGCCTGCTGAGCAGTCATGGAGAAGACAAGCACAGACCTCCTATCACATGTAGCTATCATTTTAAAGCATGAAGCATTTCAATGGCCAAAATCACTCTAATCCAGGCCCGGGGGATAATGTATTAGGTATTATACGGCCTGTTCCCAGAAAATTTAAGTGCTGACATTGGCAATGTCATTGAGGAGAGAACACTTCAAAAACATCAAGCAGATAAATAAAATATTTTAATCTCAATTATTATGAAAAATTGAAACCTCTAATTGACTTGGACACAAAACCTGATGCTCACAACCTCTGCTGCTTTCTGCTGTCCCCAGCTATGGCTGCCAGGACAAGCCATGTCAGTGCCTGAGCTCATCCCTCTCCTCCCACCTGGCAGCGGGTTCCTGCTTTGCATCTTCTCACTCCACTCCCGTGCCCTGTGCCACGGGGCTGCCTCCTGTTCTCATCCCTGCTCTGTGTTAGAGACCCTGCAAGAGCCCCTGGAAGAAGTCAGGCTCCTTTGTTTGCCTGCATTTTTCTGCTGGGGACAGAGTGTGAAGTGGCCCTGCTACCACAGGAACAGGCAGGATGTTTGCTGAATAAGCATAAAGGTGGCTCTACAACAGCTCTGCTCATTGTGTACGTGATCTTTTTAGCGAGAAAAACAGGGTAAGGTCAAAAAGGAGCTTGTAAAAGTGGACAAACATCTTCAACAATACACAAGCACCCGCCCCACAAGCACCCTTGTCCCTGGAGTGCACGTAGGGACTAACAAAAATGCAGGCAAAGAGCAGAAACACAGCCAGGGGTGATGCTTGAGGCATTAAAGAGACCTTGAGTAGACCAAGGTAGCCAGACCTTGATTATTTGTCTCTGGTTAAAGGCATAATATTAACTAGTCACTTACTGAAGGTGCAGCCAAGAATAAGGAATTTTTACCAGCTCCAACAAGCTCACGTCTTACACGAAATTTTCTTTGATGATTAAGGAAAAAGTTTTACTTTGCTTCCTAAATAGGTCACCATTCACAATGATTTAAATGGTGACAGTGCCCAGGTTATTCAAATACGTTTCTCTTACCCCATGCCCAGCCTTTCTAACTATTTTTCTGATTTTGGGCACGTCAGTCTCCTTCATCTGTCTGTTTTATACCACGGGCAGATTTTTAATTATGAAATAGCAGGTGGGTTTGAACACACAGTGAGAAATGGAACACAGGTGACTGCAAAGCTACAGGTAATAATAATTCCTGCAGTGTTTCAAGATGAAGAGGGCTTAATATGGTTTTAAGACAATTACCCCATCACAAATATGTTGGATTCTTCATCTTGTACTTACATTTCCCATGACACAGCCAAATCTACCAGACACATCATCAAAAGCAGTAGTAAGGGATATATTTTTCGGGCATTTCAACATGAATAATAAGCTCTAAAAATCCCGGCTTCCTGTAGACTTTGGGAGATAGGAAGGATAGATAAACAGCTGAACAGAAGCAGCACTTGAGCTGTGGAAAAGACATGTCACTGCAGTTAATTCTGATTTAGAACAAATGAATTAAACATTTATTTCACCAAATGTTAGTTTAAAACAATCATTAAAATCAGCTTTCTCTCTGTCCACTGGAGATCAGTTATTCATTCAAAGTTGATGAAGCTTCCCTAATTTCAACATTATTCTGTGGTCACATAGCAGATGTCATTATATTTTAGCTTCATATGATAATGTTGCTCAATCCATTTCTCACACTTTCTCTTGCTGTAAACCTTTGTACTGATCACAAACATTTCATTTAAAAGTGCGTCTCCTAAGGATCCTTTTCTGGAAATAAATGTACAGCCTGTACGAAGAGGAAAATTCAGTTTAGAGCAATACTCATAGATTTATTATTTCTGAGCCAGAGCGTCTCTGCTCTTTTCATTTTCTTCAGACTTTAACTAGTCAATCCATCATAGCATTTTTGCACTTCATTATTTGCCAAGCTTTTCACTTCCCCTCCCAGATGAAGGTGAGATTGTGGGTCCACATTTCCCTTATCTCTTTTATCCCCAAAGAATAACCCCAGAGATGGCTGAGGCTGATCTACCTGGCAGAGAGCCTGGGGGCCAGGTTGGTCGGTGCCCTGCTGCCCCTCCAGCACAGACACCCTGGGACACACTGGTCTGCTACTGCCCAGCACTGCACTAACTGCAGGACAGCAGGGATGATATCTTAGTTAAAAAATGTCTGCTGAAAAGGGCAACTGAAGACTTTACCTTTTGAAATATAGTCATTTACAGTAATTAGCACACAGATCTTATCAGATTAGGACTAAGAAAATTGCTGCCATCTACTGCTGAAAAGAAATATGTGAAAACTGAAAGCCCCTTCCAAAAATAAGTTAGGACCTGCCAGTACCTTAAAGAAGTTTATTTCAAGTGGCAGCTTAGCTCTGAAAAGGGGAATTGTCACACACAAGCAAGAGGAACGTGACCCTGCAGTTTGCTGGCCAGGGTGTCAGCCCGTTGCGACATTTCCCATAAACAGAATAAAGGCTGAAAACCTGAGAAAATACTTTACTTTGTATCCCCCATTTACTTGAAATTGAGTAAGACTTTTTTTCCCTCCTCCAACTTCAACTTTACTTATTTGTAACTACCCAAATATGTTTGAGTTCATATATGCCACTGCTGGCTGGGGCAAGATAATCCACTAAAGATGCTTCTTTGTCAGGGATTCATAGACAAACTTTAAATTGGTCTGCAGGCAGGTATTTCTAGTGAGAAATTCAGAGAGAGGAGACAGCTCTTAGAAGGGAGGGAAATTAAGAGTCTGGAACAAATTTATGCTCATTCTAAGTTTTGGGGAAAGAGCAAGGGTCCACAAGCAGGAATTGCAATGTCCTTTTCCCAGTCCCTCTGCCCATCAGGTGCCCTTGTGCTACCTTTTGACCTCATGGTCACTCTGAAAGCCAAACTAACGTTTTGCACCAACAGTGTATTTTCCCTCAGAAGCATTTGCTTCAACAGCCTCTCAGTTCCTGCAGTACCTCTGGGGTTTTTATTTTCTTATAACCATAGGAAAGCAACATGAATCCATCAACCTTCCTCACTCTCCCTAGTGTGCTGCTTCTTTAAAGGCTAATTTTTCCACTTAATTTTCACGCATATAAATTGTCTTCACTGCATGTGCTCAGCAGCCTGAGGAATCCTGCTGGCTCTGCTCAGCCAAGTGCCCTCTAATTCTGCATGCTTCACCCCTGCTCGTGGTTCAGGTCAAAGATCCCCATTGATCTCAATCAACTAACAAAAAAAAAAAAATTGAGAGAACAGAGAAATATGTTCATTACATGAGGGTCCAATTCTATTAAACAAGCAGCTTTGTCTGCTGTTCCAGGAAATTGCTCAGCTAGTGGGTGTGTTACTTTTGCCCTAGGTGAGCTCCACTGGCTTCAGCATTTTCCCAATTTCATCACAGTGTTCTTTCTCCACGGTGAAGAGAGCCAGCAGCAAGTTTTACCCTTCCTCAGCTTTGCTGAGCACCAGGATGGGACTGCAGCAGAGCACCTTGGACTGCAGCTTTCACAAAGTCACACCAAGATTTTGTCCTACTGTAAAGATCAGTGTGAGGTTTGGTGAGTCCAGCTGTGCAGCAATCTCCCCACAGCTGCCCCTGCTCTGCTGGGAGCACAGGGATGCCACCACCCATCTGTGTGTGTGGCAGTGCACCAGGAGGGGACAGACTGACAGAAAGGAATGAGGCTGAATTAGACCTCTTGAACTACAAATAATTTTCTACTTCCTCTTAATTCTCAGAATCGTATTACTCTGTCTTGTACATAACAGCAGCTGAGAAACAGCACTTAGACATCAGCCTAGACCTCAGAGCAGCAGTAATTAAGAGGGTGAAAAGCAATAATTTTCCAGAGTGTGTCATTCTCTTTCTCCTGTACACACATCATGCACCACACATTCATTCATGTCAGCAGTGAAAGCCTACTCTAGTCTCAAACATTTTCCTTATATAGCTGATAGTCAAAAGTATCTGAAATGCCAGAAACTTTCCCCACCATCATTGGTAAAAAAGAGAAGAATTTAAAAAGGGAAAAAAAAACTCTCACACCTTCTAAAATATATTTCTACAAATTTAGACAAAACCAGGCCAATAAATAAATGTCAGAGACAGCAGCCACCATGCACAGGGACACTGCCCTGGACCAACACACTTTTCTGGGCCCCTCTTCGCCTGACTGCTACGGATAGCTGCCAGAAGGCATCTAAGAATCCTTCATGTTCACAGAGAGCTTGTCACGCTCTACAGCTCCCTGAAAGGTTGGAGCCAGGTGTGGGTTGGGCTTTCTACCAAGTCACAAGCAACAGGACAGGAGGAAATAGCCTCAAGCTGCACCAGGAGAGGTTTAGGCTGGAGAGTAGAAAAGATTTCTTTGCTGAAAGGGTGGCCAAGCACTGGAGCAGGCTGCCCAGGGCAGTGGTTGAATCACCATCCCTGGAGGTATTTAAAAGATGTCCAGATGTGCCATGTGGATATGGTTTGGTGGTGGGCTTGGCAGTGTTCTTTCACTGGCTGTACTCAATTATCTTTCAAGTCTTTTCCAACCTGAACTCTGTGATTCTATGTTTCTTTCAGATAACTTGCCTTGATTCAATGCAAGAGGGCTGTTTCCAGGAAAAAGTCCATCCAGCCAAGCCAGCTGCAAGTGCTGCCAGTGTCAGATAGTAAATCATTCCACTCAACTTCCCTCATAAGCTTGTACTTGCAGCACTTAAAAACCTGGTTAGGTGAGCAATCTTGATGAGCAGCTACTCAAAAGATGAGCAGGCAAGAATCTGTCCCTGTAAATACAGATTTAATCAAGTACTTAACAGCTTTTCTGAACCAAGATTCTGATGCATTAAAAAAAAAAAAAAAAAAAAAAAAAACCCAACAGGGCTGATTTTATTTGTATTCTCCTGACAGAACCAGTAAAAATGTTTTCCCAGTAGGAAGAAACCATAGAAAGCTCTTTTTTCTCCTAGGAAAAGAGTCAACAGTCTTTCAGTGACATAGAAGTTGACCTAACAGAAGCATTTATGTCAGGTAATCCTACAAGGAGCTTTTCAGCTATATTATCCAGAGAAAAACATTTGTACAATATTTGCCTGCCAGGAAAAAGTCTCTACTGCATTTTCCCAAAAGAAAAAATTTCATAACCTTTTACTGACAAGGAAGTAATAATTATTCACATAGCAGCATACCATTAAAGTTCCCTTGACAATGACTGATTGGTTTACTTGTAAATATTTGCCATGGAAGGAAAAAAAAAAAAAAAGTGATGAACAAAAGGCTTGTAGGTTTCTTTTGCTAGCAGAGCTAAGTGGAAGGGGGGGAAAAAAACCAAACCACAAGTTGCAGTGCTACTAAAACACCTGAAAGCACAAATGCCAAAGCAAAGAGCCACAGGAGCACAGAGGTGCTGCCAGGGTCTGGGCACAAGGACATGCCCAGCACAAGGACGTGCCCGGCACAAGGACGTGCCCAGCACAAGGACGTGCCCAGCTGCAGCTCTGAGGTGAGCACCTCCCACCACCCAGGCTGGCATTGCCATGCTCTGTCTCCTCTGCCAGCCAGGATTCCTGGGGGAGTGTGTGAGGGCTGAAGGAGAGGAAAAACAAGAAAGACTTGTAAAGTTATTTTCCAGTCACTGCTGTGGCATCCTTCCCACTGATCTCCCTTTCAAGTGATCTTAAGAAGCTGACATGGTGCCCAGAAATTATATACAAAACACAGTTTTGCATACTCATTACTCTGAAAACAAGAGAATGCCACCAGTAATCACAAGGCTGCCACTGTTGTGAGAAGAAAATACTGATTTTTCTTTAGATGATGAGGGGTTTTTGTGTTTCCTTGTCTAGTTATTGTCATACAAGTTCTGTTGTGTGAATCCAGAGCTCTAGTCCTGTAGCTCTTTTATAAAAAGACAGTGTTGCAGTTTTATAGGTTCCTCTAGGATGAATATCACTCTTCGTTTTTTCATTTTCCTTATGGATGTCCATTTCTCCCAGCTTTTGTCAGCTCTGTTAGATGTGCTCAATAATCAGGGATTTGATGGATGGGAGAATAATTTATATTACCCTGCTGTCTTCAAGAGCTTCACATAAAATTTTTGAAACCAGAAATTTCCAGGACCCAGGGTAGAGAAGCAACAAGGGGAACTCCTGTCCATGTACACAGATGTGCCAGTGTCCTCCTGCCTTTGCAGTTTCTGTGCTTTCATTGTCAGTGCCCAGCAGGATAATTCACTAATTTTGCCGGTGTAGTGACAGTGATTGATACCCCTCTGGTAATGGCACTGGGGAATGAACCATGGTACATAACTCTGCTGCTGCTACCCCAAAGGCCAACAAAGCAAATTCAG